TTTATAAAATATATATATATAAATAATTAAATATTTTATTTTATTTTTATTTTATTTAAATTATTAAAAAAAATGAAATAGGGATGAAATTAAAAATAATTTTGGAGAAAATAGATGAAATTTTGAATAAGATGGTGTTTTTAAAAGAAAACTTGAAAACTAGAGGTAAAATCGTAAAAAAAAAAAGAAATTCGGTCACATAGAACGGCCCAGTCAGCAACCACGGGGAACCAGAGCACGCCGCGTGGTAAAACACACTTATATCGGTGCCACGCGAGAGGCCACGTGCCTGGTGATCCGACGGTCCAAATCACGTCCCGCGCGCACAAACCACTCAAATACGTTTCTCCTTTAGGCACGATCAAACAGTTAGATTCAATTTAGTTGTGCGGTCCAGATTCATTCCCTGAATAAGAGAGATCTAACGAACGAGAGAGGGTCATGTGTCCCCACACGTATGACCCAGATCGACGCGGAGAAGGTATTTAAGCATCACGTTCTAGGGAACCTTAACCCTAGCCGCACCAGCCCTTATCAGAGAAGAAGAAAAAGGGCAGCCAAAAAAGAAATAGATCACTATCATCATCGCATCGAAGCCACCGCTGACACCAAAATAGGTACTTTTCCCCCTTTTTCACTCGGAATTCAATCTCGAGCCTCCCTGTGGCCATATCAGAACCAAAGGATCGATGGGTGAGCCGAAAACTATGGGCAAAGCTCGACTGAACCATCATGGCCAAAACTCAAAATCCTCTCCAATGGCCCCCTTTTCATTTTCCATTTCACGTGATTTTTTAACCACCGTGTTCACCATCTTTTTTTGGTACATGTTAATTGAAGAAGAACCCTAGTCACGAAGGAGAATTGGCAGAGCCACTGCACTTGGAGACCCCCTGTAACACCCAAATTATTATTTTTATTTTTATTTTTGTATTTGAATTTTAGTTTAAATTTTTATATATTTAATTTAATTTTGAAAATAAAAATAATAATAATGATAAAATAGGATAAAATTATTTTTTGGATTTAATTGAAATTGATTTTGGAAAAAATGGGTGAAATTTTGGATTATGGGAGTATTTTTTAAAAAATCAGAAACCGATGGTCAAAACGCAATTTGAAAAAGTTGTGCCACGTCAGCAGCCACGTCAGCAGCCCCGGCCAACCAGGACACGCCGCATGGCAAGGAAACGGACTGCCCAGACCCGTTCCCGCGCACACGGACGGCCCAAATTCAATCAGGCACGGACGGCCCAGATCGCATCGCGATGGACGGCCCAGATTTAATCCCAAATAAATCGCGATCGGATGGTCCAAAATTAATCTTGATAGACGGTTGAGATTAAAATGCAAAGGGTATAAATAATCCCACCCACACCTGACCACAAAACCCTAGCCGTCAGTGCCTCACCGAAGAAGAAGAACCAGACGCCGGAGGAGCCGGCCGTTGCCACCCGCCGCCGCACCAGAGAATTTTTCGACCGCCAATCGAGGTAAATTTTCTCCTTCTGGCTCGTTTTTCGATGCTGAATCCGCCTATGGCCAAACCGGAGCCAAAAGCACCGGCTAATCGGCCAAAAAATTTCGCCGAAGTCCGGCGG